TAAGACTGCGGACTTAAGGCGCTTGCTGTTTAACTTCACTGCTGCACAGAAACGGGTTTTCATTCTCCTCTATCTTTTCAAGGGGAAAGTGTGGTCAAAACATCAGCATATTGAACTCAAAGGCACTTGTGGAAACGATTTTGGCATTTGCGCTGAGATTTTCCCTCATCTAGGCAATATAGGGAAACAGTAAAAAAGCGAGCGATGTTAAGATGTGTATATATATACAGCTTGCATTAATTAATTGCACCGAATCAAAAAGTAAGAGATGTCATGTTAAAATTGAATATTACATGAAATATTTTAGTATATTGTGTCAGGGTAGTATAAAACAAAATAGACATTGCTGGAATTGGTTGAAAACGTATGACATTAGTAGTCTTAAGAAGAGAAGTCAACAAAGTTCAGTTATTTTGTCATGCACTAGTGCAATGAAATGTTAATAAAAATATCTTGATCCAAGGTCCACAAATGATCATTAATAATAATAGTTGCTTACACTTATATAGCTGTTTCCTGGACACTCCACTCCACAGAGCGCTTTACAGGTAATGGGGACTCCCCTCCACCACCACCACCACCTGGATACAAAGAGCCCACAACACGAAACAGACAAAGACATACAGACGAGGAGCAAGTTGCCAGTCTCTGGCACAATATTGACCACCCAAAGGGACCTTGATGTATGGGAAAAAGCTACCCAGAGCACCTGATTACTGCTAGTAAGGAAGTATGTTAGAAAAATGAGAGGAAGGTGTCAGACCTGTAAACCTGATTTTCATGTATTCATTAGTACAGTCATATACTATAGGTATTTCAGAGCCAAACAAATTGCTAGTGGGGAAGGTCTGTTTTCATGACACTCATTTTTCTCAGGTTAGTTGGACTAGAATTTTGTATTTATTTTTTTTCCTGTATTGAATCTTAAAAATATTTTGTAAGAAACTGTAATAACTGATCATAAAATTCTTTCCAATAGGATGAATACCTGTCCCTAGTAGCTAGGCTGATTATTCACTTCCGAGACATTCGTAAGTACATCACATTCTTTTTAACTTTGTTTTGCGATTAAGATCGAACTGTTGGTTCTGTGATTTTTTTTCTTTTCTTGTAACTACGATAAATAACTTGAATGGATTTGATAACTAGTATTTGAAAGAACATTGTTTATTTTAGCAAAGCAGTAGTGTAAGCAAAAACACAGAAGATATTGTATAATGTCTTGTTTGCATCACTGAATCTGGGGATAAAAGGAGGTGTGAGTGTGACCCGACTTTAGCTTTAGACCTGGTGTTCTGTAGTGTTAGAATCACCTGTCTCAATTGATTTTTTTGAATAAATACAATAACTTTCAAAATGGTTTTCTCCTCTTCTTGGTGTATTAGGTAGGTACAATCCCTACATCAAGAAGGAATAGTTCGGCTGAGCTCTTGCTATATGACAATACTTTTGTATTTATATTGTATTTGTTTCCTTTTATTAACTAATACTAAGAAGTGTACTATTACGTACGTGTTAGGGGTCTAGAATGTCGCGTTCACACTGGCGAGAGGCGGATAGGAAGTGCAGCTCTCCTCCCGACCACTAGAGGGCGCCTTGGTGACAGGCGTTCACGGAACAGGCTGGCGGCCGTCCAGCTACTGCTTCTTTAAGAGACACTTTCGATTTGTTTTGGGTTTCCTGTTGTGCTACCTGCTCCCAGCCTAAATTCCCACGTACAGACGCAATAACACCCATTTCAAAGTATATACAAGTTTTCTTTGATGAATTTCACCGCCAAGAGTGGAAGTCTTCTGACCTCGTGTAAGTGTGCTCTGAGAATGACAGAGTTGAGTTTTCTGCGCAGGCCGAGATAGGTACAGGCGCGGTGAAGTCCGGCGCAGGGCGTGTGAGGGTACAACGTCACAAAAAAGAATGGGGCAGATATGCCTTAAAGCTAAAATAAGTGTCTATGCCTCCTTAAACTCCTGCTTTTGTTTGGGGGTGGGAGAACTAAGGTGTATAAGCTTAATGCCCCTTTAATTTTGTTTTCCAGATAAGAAGGCACAAGGACCTGGTAAGTTTAAGATGCACTGTGCATGAGAATAAATATTTCACTATTTCTGTGGGCGGGCTTTTATTAAAATAAAGTGCATGTTGTATTTTGGAAGTTGTTTTATCATTTTTGTTTAGAGACCAATGAACTTGTCCAGGTTTCCAGCTATGGCATGTTACTAGCCTATGATTATGACAGAAGAACTCGATTGATTAAACCTGTTGATGTCAGGTGTTAATTAGCTTACTTTACCTAAACCATGTGAGATCAGCAAAATGTGTACACGCTTCATAAACTTTTTTCCCCACTAAGTTTGCAAATTTGTTGCAATTTGTTGTAGTGGTAGGATTTCATTTTTTAGTGTAGATAAGAAAATAAATATTTTATTTTTTACTAGACTGCGGTGGTGCATAGTGATGTGACTGTGTGTTGAGGTCTAATAGTACAATGGTCCAGGTTTTTTCTGATCCATGGTGGATCTGAAGCAGAAGGCTAATGGTCAGGCAGTAGGCTTCTTCACTAATTCAATTGATCAGTATGATCAGTATCATCCATTGCGCTTCACTGTTCTAAAGGTACTTGCAGCTTTGCAGTGGCTGGTATTTGTTTTTGTTTGGAGAGATTCAGGGGAACGTTTATGGACCTCCTCTTTTCTTGCAGACCCCATGAATGCCCTCCAGAACCTGACTGGTGGCAATCAAGGGGGGGCAGCCAGCATGGGCTTGGGAGCACATCCTCAAGGAATGGCGGCCCTGGGCCAGATGCTGCCTGGGCAGCCACAGCCGGGGTCATCAGGAATGACCCCTCATGGCATACAAGGTGTTGTTTATTTCTATAAGCACACATGTTCCTATTCATGGAGATACAGAACATCCAAAGTGATTTATTTCTGTTTTTGTCATTTCAAAAAGAGTATCGGTAGTTTATCCAGGGTGCTAAAATGATCCTGTTTCAGAGGTAGATTTGACGTGGGGTGGTACAGTGCAAGGTCATGTACATAAAGCATATGACTCATATGTACAAGGTACAATATCAAAACAATCTGGGTTTCAGACAATGCAATTAAAACCTAAATACTCCAGCTAAAGACTGCTTTTGAGATTTAATACAATCACAACATTCGTGTTCTATATACCTGATTTGGAATAGTCAATTGTGTGCAACAGCTTTGAACCCTGTGACTGCACACGGGAAACGAAGGAGAGTGCAATCAAACTCCTCTAACCTGCCCACCTTTGAGTCCCTTTTTAATGTCACATGCCTGCAAGTACCCAGGAGGCCACAACAGTGGCTGAGATCATTCTTGCTTTGTGATTGGACTGGACTTTGCCCATCATAAGAGAATTAAAAAAAATCCTGAAGAAGAGCAGCCGTTTGACCATGACAGATGTGCTGTTAGTGGTTAACAAGGTGCTTGAGCCACTCTTTGAAACTGTCCTAGACTAAACTATTCTAAACTAGATAGCACTTTCAGTTTTGATTAACTTTTGTATATACATTTTTTTTTGTTTGCACATGTGGTTGCCATGTCATTCACCCTCTGTGTTGTTGCAGGCCCAACCCAGATCCATATGCAGCAGATGCAGCAGCAGCAGTTCCATCAGTATCAAACCCAGCAGCTGCACCAGCAACAGCAGCTCCACCAGCAGCAGCAACAAATGATCAAGATACAGCAGATGCAACAGCAGCAGTTGCAACAGCAACAACTTCAGCAGCAGAACCAGCAGCAGCAACAACAAAACCAATCACAACAGGTAAGAGGGTTTACCTACTTACATTACCAGTTCAATCCTGTTGCACTGAGAGTACTTTCCTTCTCTTTTCTTTATTCAGCTTTACTCCTTGTTTGGAGTACAGCTGATTGAATACATTGGACAGTGTCTTCAAGCATGACCACGATTGTCATAGCACTGGTATAATACAATTCACCCTTTGCCATAGGAGTTAGGCTGATCTGGGCATTCTGCATTTGTATTGCCCCATTTGCTGGTAACTCAAGGGACTGTTTCGCTGTGGTGTTTTTCTGTGAGCTGGTGTGGTGTAGTGGATGGTTCAATGGTGCACATATGAGACAACTAGATGGTCTTTGTTTCTGGAAAGGAGACTGAAGGGCTGAGTGAGCTAACATTCAGTGCTTTCAGACTGGGATGGGCTACATAAAACACTGACATAAAACATGACACACCTGAAGCAGGCTTCACAGCCGAAACGTTGTTACTTTTCTTCTCTTTTCAGCATGGAATAAACCTTTACTTGTTCCTTTATGTAAAAATTGACACTTTGCTTCACCTCACTATTTAGTCATTGTTACACGTGTCATGACTTGTGTATGTTACACGTGTCATGACTTCGGCTATCGACAACTTAGATGAACCTTTTTGGCGACTGTTAATGTACATTTGGTAAGCTTAGGAAAAAAACTATATACAGAAAGTTAGTTATTTATTGTTTATAAATGTAAAAGTTAACATTATTTTTTTGCAAAACAAACTCTGTACATAATCTAAAGCACTTTGCCTTTTCTGCAATCTCTCCTTGCAGATGCTTCAGTCCAGAATGCAACAGCAGCCGCAGCAGATAGCCCAGTTGCAGCTCCAACAGCAGCAGGTAGTCCGGGCCTGGGACATGACTTGGGATAGTTGTCTCCCTTTTTAGGGATGGGCCCTACATTAGCTGTTCTCCAGTGTGTACGTTGACCTGAGAGACTGTTGGAAGACTTGTTTTTGAATAACATGTCTTGTTTCCTTGAGTACAATTGGTAAGATGCCCTCAGGCCCTCGAGATGCATCTTGAGTTCTAGTACCTCAAACATGTTTGCCTTTTCTGTGCTATTACTGTTTATTATTATTATTGTTTAATAAAGTCCTTATTCTGCCAGGGGCCTATCTACTTCCTAAATGAATAGCAGAGTGAAGTACTCGTTTAGTCATCTGCAATATTTGTCATCTTTGTGTTGGATACGTTTTACTTCCTTAAAGCTTCCTTTTGCTGTTGTCTTACATTTCAATATTCCTTTCTTTCTCTCTTGGCTTGTCCGGTATCCTTTTTAATCTGTGCTTTGCAGGTCATTGCCTTTTCTTTACCTGCATCCTATTTGTTTTTCAATAATGATTTGTTGATCTGTTTGGTACACTGCTTTCTACTTTTTAATTTGCTGACTCTTGGGATAAATTGTTGCCTTACACTGATGCCATGTCTATTCTACCTCCTTCTGCTTCTCTAAAACCTACTCCCACAGCAGGCGGCGCAGCAGCAGCAGGCTCAGCAACAGGTGCAGCAGTCTATGCACCAGGCCCAGCACCAGCCCCAGGCTCCATCCTTACAGCAGCAGATGCAACAAATGGTGCAGCAACAGCAGCAGCAGCAACAACAGCAGCAGCAGCAGCAACAGCAACAACAACAGCAGCAGCAGCAGCAACAGCAACAACAGCAAGCTGCTCAGCAGCAGCCCAATCAGATGCCATCTCAGTCCCAGCCACAGGCCGTGGTTCCCCAGGGGCAGATACAAGCGCAGCAGGTCCCTCTGAGTTCCCTAAATCAGCAGCATCACCTAAAGCTTCAGGCCATGCAGGTAAAGCTTAGAGCATTTAATGTGAGTGATGGCTAAGCTATTTTATAAGATGTTTTCTGAATTAGGGGGTCAAGCATTCTCTAGTCCTCAACTGACAAATTTCTAAGAAGACCAGCTGGTTTTATAAATCCAGATGAAAGCTTGAAAGTAAACAGAACTACAGCCTTAAGCATAGACATTGTTGGAAAAATGTTAGTTCCCCTCTTACCTTTCACCTAGCAAATCAGGCTTCCTTTAGAATGCTACCTGTAGGATAATGCATTCAATATAAACATAGTATTTGAACCCAGAGGCCAGAATTCAAGTCTTGAGATGCTTTGAGAAATATATAGTCTGTGCTTCCTTGATGCATCAGGTTCTCTCTATCTGTAGCCATGACTGTTGAAGGTATTGCTGGGATAGGGCTGAGTAATGCTGCATTGACCAATGCCCCTAGTAGAAGTCAGAGTTCCTTTTCCTGTGTCCTCGGTGGGTTGCATAGGGATTTATTTCAAGGCAGCTACATGTGATCTGTTGACAAGTTCCCTACAGATTTTTTTAAACCCAGCTTTTCAGGGTTATGGATAACCTTTTGCATTGACACTTTCCCCCCTCCCCATTTCTGCACTCGTGTTCTGCAGCAGGCTTTAGCCCTGGCCCACAAGCAGCAACAGCAACAACAACAACAGCAGCAGCAGCAGCAGCAGCAGCAGCAACAGCAGCAACAGCAGCAACAACAACAGCAGCAGCAGCAGCAGCAACAGGCGGTGGCGGCACAACAGGCAGCTCAGCAGCAGGCAGCACAGCAGGCCCAGCAGGTGGTGCAGGCCCAGCTGACAGCAGGAGCTCCTGGGCAGGTAAGATGGGCAACCAGGGAGACATGGGACTGGACTGGTGAAGGCCTTGGGTGAATGCATGCTCGTTTATCAGCATGGTCTAATTGGGTTACTGTTGGCTTTAGTTTTGTTACACATGGATTTGTTGGCAAAAGAAACTTAACTGTTTTTTTAGATTTCTTTCTCTCTGTGAAAGCAGTTTAAAGCTTTTCTTTGTGATGATGCGTCTGTACCCATCACTACAAGCGGCAAGAGGGATACAGCGTTGTAGTTCTTGAGTTGTCTTCTTTGATTTCGTGTCCCTCCCTCTTCTCTTATGAGGAATTTTATATTTGTATTCGTTTGTGTTGGTAATCATGAGTGTCCGATACAGTGATGGACAAAGGTATGCCAAACAATGGACATTTTTTAGAGGTTCTTTAAGAAGAGTAATGCTTAGTTTTCGTAGCTCAAAATGAAATATTGTTGTTGACATGATGACTATGGTGCAATCTTATCATTTTCTAAAGTAGCATTAAAAACTTTTTACGTTTGAGGTAGCATCTAACTTTCCACCTTTCTAGAAAATATTTGTCCTCTAAATTCTTTTGGGAAATTCTTCATGTAACCAGAGATAAAAATATACAGGTTACTCACTTTTTCAGTTTTGCAATTCAAACAATATTTCGGTTATGACTTTCTGTAATATTTTAGTCTCCCTTCAGAATCCTGAAACTAAAACAGCATTTGAACTTCTAGATTTTTAAAGTATTTAGTTCTTCACCACCTTTAAAACTGAAATCTAATACTCCTGTCTATAACAGTTTTTTTTTTCCATTTTTGCACAGTTTTTCTTGTTGATGCCATGACATTTTTGCATACTTTGGCATACAAAATCTCCCAACTATTATTTTAGGAAACTGCTCATGGTTACAAGATTATCTGTAGGATTCCCTAGCTGAAATTGAATGTTTAAGAATCTTATAAGAGTGCTGGAAACTCGATCACGCTGGTTTGAATACATTGCCATTCTCATTTGAAAGCGTGTATATTTCTGCTTTCATGATGTATAGTCAATGTAAATTCTGCAGTTATGTTCTAATGTTGACAACTCTGAGCATGTGCTGTACTACTGTAAATTAAAGGAGGAGATGATTTCTGTCTTTTTCTGTAAGGATGAAAGTATCATTTTTTTAAAGCATTGTCAGACTAGCTCTGTTTCAACAATGGACAGACCCATCTGTTTAAGCCTTCACCCCGAAGTGTGTATTGTGATTACCTGCAGTGTCCTCTATTGCTTCAGTGCTTTCTTTTATTGGGGGGTTGGTCAGTTTGAATAAACAAATGAATCACTTTCCATGTGTTTTGTAGTTGGGTTGGAGTCTCAGGAAGGGAGGTTTGTGGAAACGAAAAGACTGAGCAAAATTCCTGTTAGCCAAGCAGTGCTTAAAATATACCACCCCCTTTTTCAGTGTTCTAAAAAATGTCATCTGTTGTCTGGGTAAATCTGAAAGGAATTTTGGGATGTTGTGGGATGTGGAGGACATAAAAGAAAGATGATGGCAGTTCCGCTTTGAAGTATTTTAATTGGAATGTAAGGGGGTTTGTTTTCTTGATGAAATCCAGCTCACGTGTATTGATCTCCACCTTGTATTCCCATGAACTGAGCTCACAAGAATGGGAAGTTCTCTCCGTTTCACACTGATCACTATAAGGCGGGGCGGCCTCTCTTCGGGAGTCGAATTTCAGCTTTTCATGCTGGTGACTGAACCGATACCGTGATCTGAGAGAAGTGAGACCCTGCAAAGTTGTCTCTTCATCCTGCGATCCCGGTTTCCTTCATCCAATTTAGTTTTTCCTGCTGCACCCCTGAAAATGACAAATTTACCACTAGATCTAGGTGAAGATTTACAGTGGCTCACCTTGTGTGGTGCAGGCATGGATGCTCCTGTGAAGGGGTTGCAGTAGTGTACCAGTTCAAGAGATTCAGCTTACCCTTGAAGCCTTTGCAGGGGTTTTTGGTCCAAGGTATTTTGTCAGCAGTGTCTCTCGGGCCTTAAAACCGTTGCATTTCCCACTTGAGGAACATGGGAAGTGGAGATTCTTTGGATCATACGAGGAGCGAGTGGATTTCTCCTGCCACGCTTCATGGCATTTCTGCTTCATGTGAATCTTTCTCATTTTTTGTGTGTATAACAATGCCTGATGCTGCTGCTGCATGCCTGCCTGTGTTTAATCGCCTCTTTTCAGTGCCAGGAATTTGCAAAAGATCACTGCATTTTTTGTTGCTAATATAAACTAATTCCGATGTAGGCCTGTCTTTTTTTTTATTTTTTAGTTGTTGCTCTTTTTTAACTAAAAACACATGCATACGTTTTTTAAAAAAGGTAGTCGTATCATTCTGATCATTTAAGCTTTATTAGTCATTCACAGAACAGGTGACTTAGTTGCATAATGTAACTTTATAACATTTTTGGTTTCACAACAAATCTGAATGAAGGTAAATTAATTTTTTCCAAGATAATGTGGAATTTTTAGTGAGTCTTCAAGTTATAAAAGTTAACAGTACAGTATCTAAATGTTTACTTGTAATAACTTTAGTCGCCAGAGGAAATGGATGTCTCATCTTTGAGACATTTACAGTCTGTTGTTAAATACTTTTCCCCAGATTTATGAGAAATCTTTAAATATAAAAGCTTTAGGAGAATGCTCAGGTTTAGTACAATGCATCCCTGTGCATTTAACTGCATGAAATCTCGTGTGCAGGGAATCCATAGTTTGTCATGACCAAAAAAGCTGCCATTTTTCCCAGGAGCTACAACAAGCATCACTTCATATTCACTAACTAATCAAATCCCTCTCAGACCTGTGCATACAGTATGAGCGTGCCTACTTTTTTTTTTTGTGTGTGTGATGTAAAGGACATACCGATGCATGCATGTGCTTTCTTCCATTCCTGCTGATGCACTGCGTTTCTTGTTTTGCTATTACATGTCTGTTGTCCCTCTGTCCTCCAAGATGATGTCCGCTACTATGGTCCGTGGTGGGATACAGCCCCGGTTACCCCGCGTCTCCCCAGCCTCCACACTGCCTCCAAACTCTTCTGGTCTCGGAGGACAGCAAATGCCACAGGTATTTACACCAGAGTCCACTGCAGCATCCAGACATCTGTGTGAGGACACATGGATGCCACGAAGTCTTTTAGGTTTCCTGGCTCTGGCAGAGCACCTCTCGGATTAAAAGTTTTCTTTGCTACTTTCCTACAGTGCTTTCCCCAGTCCATGGAGTGAGTGTTTGACTTGGATTGATTTCTTACCGTTTGAAAATTGGACTTGGGTGTGAGAGAGCTCCTTTGCCTTAAGTTCAGTTAAAGCTATTGCACGGTGCTGTGGAGTCAGGTCTGTTCTTTGGGTGGTTCATATGATTGGCCTGTCACTGCTGATTGAGCTTCAGTTTTAGGATTGTGCTGAGTTTTGCAATAAAAATGCATAGTGGTTAAAGACTGTTGATGAAGGTGACTTTGAGTGATTTTTTGTATCAGAACTTGTGCCTATCTTTGTGGATCACTTTTTCTCCCATTTAAGGTTGCATTAAGGACTGAAACATTTTCGCCTCAAGGCTGTCTGAATAAAATTAACATGTAAATTGGAGGGTGGTGTGTAAATATTTAGCTGACTTTCTTGAAAACGAGGTATGGTTTTTGTTTTCTTCCTCAAAGAAGCTCTGTTGTGTCCGCTTTGTCCAGCGAAACGGCTCAAGCTGCAAGGCATGCTGCTGACCCGAGAGCTCTTGAAGCCCTTTTCCTCCTCGCTTGGTTTAAACCACGGCCTTCTCCTGCAAAGCTTTGCCGGTTTCCTGTCCCCTGGTGTGGCTGGACTCTGCTCTTCCTCGGACAACGCTGTGGCCCGTGCTGCCCAGTGACTCCTCCCGTGTTTTGTTTCCGTGCCACCCAGGGCGGAATGACCATGATGTCGTCGCCTTCGCCGGTCCAGCAGGTGCAAACCCCCCAGTCGATGCCTCCTCCCCCCCAGCCACAGCCGTCTCCGCAGCCCCCCTCGTCTCAGCCCAACTCCGTCAGGTACGCACAGGCACCATGGCTTTTGCCAGCTTGCCTTACCGATGTTGATGACAGCAGTGCAGGGGCTTTATTGCCAAATGGAGTTTCGAAAAGAGGAATGAGACGGATCTGAAATATTTTCTTTAAGTCAAGGTCACTTGTATGCTTTTTTCCTCATGTCCTGTCTTGGGCACATTTATGGATTACGGATATTCTGTATGTACAGGCTAACAACATGGACGCAGTCAGTTATACATGATATCTGTTTTACGAGAACAGGATTTTGAATGTTTTGAGAGCAGAAGGTTTGGTTTTCATAGAATTGGTAAAAATGAAATGTTTGGGATGCCATTTTGTTCTAAGTGATGCATTGGACTGGGAATTCCCATCCCTGCTCCTGGGTATCCCATACCTGAAGTTTTTCATTCCAGCCAAGCTCTGTATTGATTTAAATTGTAGTTCAAACGTTGCTTGACTGGAATATGTCAAGGTTTTTCCTTAAAAAGTACATTTCATTAACAAGCAACGTCTGAAACTGAGGAACTGGAAAAATTCCTATTATTCCGTCACTGGGGGGTTCATTTAGGTAACCGAGCTTAGCTGGAATGAAAACCAGCAGGTTTAAATGTTTTAGGATCTATTTTTTAATTTAGTTTTACAGTGTTTTGTACAAACAGTACAAGTGCACTTGAAATTCAACATTATACCTCATCAGATTCGGAGACAGTTTCTTCCCACATCCTGTCAGATTACTGGACTGTACCCCTACCACTGGCTCACACTGATGTTTTAAGTTGTATGTTATTTAACATTGTTGTTGCTGCTGCTGCTGTTCTGTGATTTTGGTGATTCTTTTAATGTCTTTGGTATTGGAGCATGCATGCAAGAAAGCATTTCATTACACTTGTGCATATGACAAATAAAGTGAACTGATCGGATTTTGTCTGTGCTGACAGAAGCTTATGGTCTTTTTTTGGGCTTGTGTTCTAGTTCTGGTCCAGCTCCATCACCAGGGGGGTTCCTGCCCAGCCCCTCACCCCAGCCTTCTCAGAGCCCTGTCACAGCGCGCACTCCACAGAACTTTGGCGTTCCCTCACCTGGCCCCCTGAACACACCAGGTATAGCTGCTTCCCAGGGGAGTGCTGTTACAAAATGGGGCCTTCCTACTCTGAAATTGATAAACAGACAGACAGGGATTTTAACAATCTTGAAATGTTTTACAAAAAGGCTCCATGAATCCCGGAGTTTCAGCATGGGTAATGTCTTTAGCAAACTGTGCCCAGGATTTGTTAGCGGTAAAATTAAGATCAGTCAACCCAGGGCTCTCTTGGGTCAGAACGCATGCTTGCTTCCCTGGCACCTGCAGGCCTGTAGTACTGTTAGTAAAGGGCAGACCTCTCTGTGGTGTTCCACTCTATGTTGTGCTCTGTGGTCTGTTTTTGATTAAACTGGCTACTCATGCTGTAGGTTGAAATTTGCAAGTCTGCAGACTTGTCTGTTTTTGTCTTGCACTTTGAATTCATGCATAAAGATCATCTTGGAGTATGTGCTTCTGCCCACTGTTGTCCTTTGCTGTTGTGGTCTTTCCCTAAAAGTTGCATGCTGACATCATGTTAAACACTGTTGGTCATGAAACATCAGCAGGCTAAGCTGTCTTGGTCACTGAAGCGCCTAATACCACACCAATCACCTCTCTTTCAAAGTTGCTGAGGTCATGCTGGCCACAATTACAAGCTTCTAGGGCTGTCTGGTATTTTTATATTTGACCCTAAGCTGGGATATTACTTGCTTAATATTTGTTTCACACCTGTAGGGAAGCCATTTCTTTCAATAAACTTGGTGTCCCTCATTTACCTAATTTTATTAATTTTTTTGTCCATTACCTGTATTCCCGATAACATTGTAACTATTAGCTATGTTAAAAATGACATTTTGTATGAAAGGGCTGCATGAAAATCATGACCTTGCCAGTTCTAGCATTCAAAACATATTTATGTGGTTGAACTCATTAATTTTTTTGTCTCCATCGGAAGGCAATCCCAATTCAGTCATGAGTCCTGCCAGCTCATCTCAGACAGAAGAACAGCAGTACCTTGAGAAACTCAAACAGCTCTCCAAATATATCGAGCCTCTGAGGAGAATGATAAATAAAATAGACAAAAATGAAGGTAAGAGAATTTCAGTTTTCAGAAATTTAAAATGTTTGACTGTCTCTAAATATTTTGGAGTACTGCATCTACAGAATCTCAACCTTCTGTTTTCTGCAGATAGGAAGAAAGATCTCAGTAAGATGAAGAGTTTGTTAGATATCTTGACTGACCCTTCTAAGCGGTATGTATTGAGACTATTGTTTTTTCTGTCTATAGTGTCTTTAGGCAGTGAGCTGAATATAATCAATATTTGCACCCAATGCTTATGATTAAATGTTCCGTAAAAAGCTTGAGCCTCCACAATACTCAAGCTTTTCAACATTTTGTGTTAGTATTTTGGGGGATGTTTTTTTCTATACCTTTAGGAGAGCTCCTTAATTTCTTAACATCTTTTGCAGTTGTCCACTGAAAACCCTACAGAAGTGTGAAATCGCTCTGGAGAAACTGAAAAATGACATGGCTGTGGTAGGTGTCACAGTGTTGGTCTTGTGCAAACCTTTTGGTGTAGTGCGGCAGATTTGTAATGTTTTTTTTCCCCCCCTCTGTTTCGTGATCCAGCCCACGCCGCCGCCCCCGCCGGTGCCCAGCACGAAACAGCAGTACCTGTGCCAGCCCCTGCTGGATGTGGTCATGGCCAACATTCGCTCTCCGGTCTTCAACCACTCACTGTACCGTACATTTGCCCCCGCCATGACTGCAATTCACGGGCCTCCCATCATGTGAGAATCTCTGGTGTCTTCTGAGGAGAACCCTTGTTTTCCTTCCTTTTTGCTCACACTTTTAAATTCTGGTGCTCGTTAATTTTTTTTAGCTTCTTTAGCTTAAAGTGGTCCTTGCCGCAGCACGGTTATTGACTGAAATCAGTTGGCAACAGATGAGATTCCAGTATAAATGGCATTGTTAATATTTAATTTTGAAGAGAGCTGAAATTGTGGCTTTCATTTAATCTTGTTTCTGAACTCCATTGAATGAATTAATGACATGCTAAGGTCATGTTTTTATGAGATGCTTATAAAGCCTGTGACTCTCAAAGAATAAGGAGTTGCTGTATGACAGTTCCTACTAAAGAGAATGTGCTTTGCTTGCCTGAAACCACCAGTAAGCTTTTAAAAACAGCATGAAGGGAATTTATTTTTTTTAAATCTTGCTGTATCTGTAGGTGTTTGTAGTATTAATATGGGTAATCTTTGTTCCCAGACCTTTTAATCTACAAATCTGATCTGAACCTTGTCGTGCAAACAGGGGCCCAATGATTGCAACTCGCAAGAGGAAATACGAGGACGACGAGAAGCAGACGATCCCTAATATCCTGCAAGGGGAAGTGGCGCGCTTAAATTCCAAATTCCTGGTCAATCTGGATCCCTCCCATTGCAGCAATAACGGGACGGTTCATCTCATCTGTAAATTGGGTAAGGAAAATTGACATTCCATATTCTTGATGAGTTTAAGAATGTTTTTTCGAATAGAAACATTTTTTTATATTTAATTTGTGTGTGCAGAATTGTAGGTGTTGCTTACGGTGTGCTTAAAATTGTAAAGCTTTTTTGTTCTTTCGCCCAGATGATAAACATCTTCCCAGTGTTCCGCCTCTTCAGCTAAGCATTCCAGCCGACTACCCTGAGCAGAGCCCACAGTGGGCAGATGATGCACAGCAATACGGTAAAGGAAGTTTTCCCCATTGCTACATATACAGTAGATAATCCCAGTCATGCAGTCCTACAGTCCTGGAGGTTTTGTTGGATTTGGCTTAGTGGCTAAAAACGTGGAAAAGAATGCGATTTTGACCAGTTGAGTGAAGGATAAATTAACATCTTAGATGAACTGGGTGGGGGAAAAAAAAAAGATCTCCGTCACTCTGGAATGATCTTGTATCATCACAGCTTAGTGGCTTCTCAAAGCGTTTTACAGAATGAAATTTGCTTGCATTATAATAAAAAGAGATATTATTTCACAGTTTCACTGTGACTTTGTAGGTGACATGTTCTTGATGAAAATAAGGTTTCATATGTGATCAATAACTGCTAGGCCTTGATCCTCATTATTTAATGTAATTGGACTCTGTAGTTTGTTTCACAGCACTCTTCCTGTTATGACCTTGTAATACTAATGTTGCAGTGGGGGTTGCGTTTAATACCGTTTCTCTTTGCAGATGCAAACCCCTTCCTGCAAACTGTTCACAGAAACATGACCTCCAAGCTGCTCCAGCTTCCTGACAAGCACTCTGTCACCGCGCTTCTGAACACATGGGCCCAGAGCGTGAAGCAGGCATGCCTGTCTGCAGCCTAGTTTTGTATAGCCAGACCTTCCACAAACCAGACCAGCTCATAAAGACCAGTAGGATTTATTGACCAGGGCTGGGGAAGTGCGTACCAGTCAGCTCGTTGGTGAATGTAGGTGAGGCATTGTAGTGACTAGAGAAATTACTCCTTGTAGAAGAAGCAATTGGAAATGTAGTGCTTTACAGTTTGCTGTGTGTATTCAGATTTTTATATAAACTTTTTTGTCAGTTATTTACTTAACTTAAATACCTATTCCTAAGTGCAGGGGTGCGATTGTTTTTGTGTACCCATCTCTTAATATATGAGACGGTGTATTTTAGGAGGAATGTTTTTACATCTCTACATGAAATGGGAAAAGGACCTTTTTTTTGGAGTTGAGTAACGGTTGTGCTGTACTGCTGATGTCATCCTAGCTGAATAGACTCTCCCACGCAGCTTTTTCTGCTGGCTACTATGGAATAGTGACTAAGCAACACTATGTTAAAAAGCATTAAATCAATAGCTAGTCCGTAGAAAAGACAGTTAGAATTCATCAGAGTATTCAGCTGTTAATGACTTCTTTTGTACAATTCTTCCAGGGCCATAACATTTACTTTGGTTTTTATTTACTCTTAAGATTTAAGTTGCTTAAACACATTTCACTTTAGAGCAGTTTCTGCCCATTTTTGAAAAACAATTTTCATCTGTAGAATGGCTTCTTCCCATATTTCAGTCATACTCTTCATTGTCTTCTTCACTGTTTTTTTTTCTCTGTGGAATGGGATTTTTGTTTGAACTAGTTCCTATAAAATACTTTTTACATTCACTAAAACAGCTCTTTGGCCAGGGCTGAAAACGGTGTTCCTGTTCATTATTATTGACTTCCAATGTGTGACATTATTGGTAGTAATTACAGTAATTCAAAGCAATTGGAGAAGATTAATGCAGTTGGTGAAATAAATGGCAAATTTCTAAAGTGCTAGGTATAATTCCCTTATCAGTTTATAACACAAAATACTACAGGAACTCGATTAGTTTTAACCATTTGTTCTCTCAAACTTTGCAGTTTCAAATTAATTCCTTTTTATGAGGGAGTTTGCTGATTATATGCACAATTATACTGTAGAACACACACAATAATTCATGTATCCCTGAAGCTGAGAGTTAGACTGTTAATCAAGCAGATTTTATCTTTATATCAATTCCGATTTTAAGTGCTCTGTACAAGTATATTGTGCCGCTAAAAAAACATAAAGACAATTAAGCATGTTTTGTTCAGCTGTCTTTTAGTTTACAACTTTTCGTAAGCGGTTCTTCTGCATGGCTTGTGTTCTTTTCTGCCTCTCGGCAAAGCTGGTTCCCAGAGACTGTTTCAGGGCTGGCAGCATCACCCTCTCTGCTGCAGAAGGCTGGGCGTCAGGCCTTGCACAGTGAAAGGAAAAGCATTTACTACCCTCAACCTGGACTGAACACACTTAAATGAATGCATGCCTCTTTTAAAACAACCTGTAGCTAGAAGAATCTAAAGCTTGTATTCCAATACATACCGAGCTTCAGAGAGGAAATGCTTCATTCACCAAGTTTAATTTTAATTATAAAGCCATTTTTTGTTACTTGGTCTAGCAGCCAACTATTTATCTCTGCAGTTTCATATGCAGCTGTAATGCAATTACTAGACTTGGTACTCTGACGTTTATTTTTGCTGCAAACACAATCCGTATAAAAAACACTCACTTTAATCTTAATGGATCAAAGCTGACTTTGACACCGGATAATTGCTTTCTTAGTCTAATCAGGGGTTGCAGGTTTTCTCAATTTGGTAAAGTGGTAAATGTTAATTAGCTGGTCTTTTTATGTATGTGTGCCTATGAATTAATCAAAATTAAGGAGCCAATGGTTATTTCAAAAATGTGCTTAACTATATAAAACATATGTTTTGGTAAGTTACACGGGTTAAAATAAGCAATTATCTACTTAAGAGTAAAAGGCGAGTGTTTCAGTACAGTATGCAACATGATGAACAGTATCAAGTCTAGTTATAATTAATTGACACAGAGGTTTTGAGAATGTCTCAAGTTATTGGCCAAATAAGGCAAACAAAATAAAAGTACAAAGTCATTTTTTCTTTCTTGTGATGACAACTTCCTTGCTTTACATTTGGGGCTTCCCCAGTTGTAACACTGAAAGGTATGCAAATAAGCACTGCTTGTCTTTGATAGTGGGGATCTGCTCATATCAGGTGAAAATGTAGCAGGGAAAACATTTGTAAAGTCTGAGATACCCAGTTATTCCACTTACATTTTCTTTGGCAGTGTTTTAAGTGACAGTTTTGGAAATCTTCCTGTTTCTCCAGTCCTACTGGAGGAAAATAAAGAAAATAGTGCATAATTAGCAGAAAATGTGCCAGTAGAAGTTCATTTTCTTGAATTGGGAAATTTAACTGGGCTGTTTGTCTTTGTGATTTACCTGGAAGTACCTGTCAAGTAAGCCTTGGTAAGAATGTAAGTTTCAGGAGTAATTTTGTTGTTGTTCAGTATAATATCCTTCAAGACAGACTTCAAATGTAACAGCTGAAAGAAAGCAGAAATCATCATTGGTAGTGTTGCAGAGCATTGAGCATTTTTAGCAAGCTATTGCAAAACAATTTTAAATTCACAATGAGCCCTTTCATTTTTTCCACTGTTTTCCAATCAGCAGGACCCTAATGACCTAATCTGTACTTTTCTCCAGGAGCACCAATTGTTTTATTGCTGTTTAGGAAATCCTGGCCATAGTCAACAAATGGCATGTACTAGATTCAAACTGATGGTAGAGCCTGTGTTCGAAACGGATTGTCAAATTCCTGCTCCAGAATAAGTTGGAGTGTTCACTGTAGGAAAGCTGTCTTGGGCTAATTATAAGTTGAATGTTTTAGAAATAGGCTTCTGCCGTTTTCGCCTGCTCTTGTTAGACAGGAAGAGGAGTTGTGTGTTGCCCACCTCCTGAGACTGGAGGCTGTTGGCGTTGTAAAGCTGACGGATGATGACCTCGCACTCCTGCAGGGTGGGGGCCCGAGGTGGTTGCAAGGGACTGCTGAGAATTCTCAGAGGCTGCAGCGATGTAATGAGACCCCCTTTCAAGTCTTGTTCCGGGCATGCTGCGGCATCACATGCAACCTCATTCTCGCCACCACTTCCTGTACCGCTGTCAGTATCGAGAAAGAGTTTCAGGTACTAACCTGCTATTTGCAGAGTAAATACTCAGAGTGCCATTTGTAAACATTTTTCACTGTTACAGTGTTGAACAGAGAATATTCTAAAAGTATGCAAAGCTTAAAGATGTTACAACAGGTGCTGTACAGAAATCTTTATACATGTCTGCTTTTCTTCAAGCGTTTTTAACCTAATTTTAATTTTTTTCTTTTTTTTTTCCCCATTTGCAAGCCCACCCACAAAAACAAGTTAAAGATGTTTAACAGTTAAAACATTTTGACCATTCTAAAACCATGATTTGATTAATGGTTTCCAATTAGAAGAACAAATACCCTGGTTACAGTAATAGTGCAATTTTAATTTGTAAGTGGTGGGTACTGTAAGGTTGTTTAAGTTTAATCTGGGCTTTTTATGTGTTGTAGAAAATGACTGTTCCTCTCTGAAAGGAATGGACAACCCCAGATTTTTAAAAGCTTGGTAGCAGGTTTCACTATTTTTAAAGTAGAAACTGATCAAGAACTAAGACGATCTGGATCTTGCCTATCCAAAATTAGAGTTGCCCATCTCAGCTCCGTGTGTTTGTTGTACAAAATGGGGAAGTTGGCAAGGGATCTGCTGGTTATAGTTACCTGTGGAAGGTGTCCTCTGAAAGAGTATTGTGTAACTGCAACTTGTGCACAGCCTGTTCTATAAACATGCCTTTCTTCTCTTGGCAATCTGCTTGCTGCTGCCCATTTCCTCTCCTAGAGGAACCTGAGGCTATAACTGTAGAAAAGTCATCAACAGAGAAAATGGCAGTCTTGCATTAACACACACTATATTGCAGTCCCTTTAAAAATATCTGAGGAGCTGGATTCTGACAAGGATTGGGAGGAAGCACGTCAGATATCCAAAATCATCTTAACGATTCAGAATGAAATAGTGCATAGGCACTACATAGGCATTTTTTTTTCCAGAGCTGCAGCTAATTTTTTACAATAAAACAGGGTGCCACCCATGGGGTTCTAGAAGAGCAGTTTTGAAATCCCACTCACCTGATGGCTGCTGACTGAGGCGGTGTCCACTTTGACTGGCACTGGAGGTTGTGCTGCTCCCTGCAAGGGTATTGATATTCTGATCCACAGTAAAACTCATCTAAAGTTTATCACCCCCATCTTTAAAAATTTAAAATGTATGCTTTATGGAAAATGAAATATCAAAAGAATTGCACCATTTATAGAATATAGAAATATTTGCTTCCAGAAGATCTCAGAAAATTAGAATGATTTGCAGTTTTACCTTTTCTGCTCTGTTTTGGCTCCATTATCAACTTGTACTGTAGATCTGTTACCACAAAACAGGAGAGAACATTCTTACTGTGAATGATGAAAGGAGCTGTAGAAGTTGGGCAAATTTTAAAATATTTTTAAAAGTAGGCAGCCTCGGTAGATCAAAAGTTTATTATTTGTGAAAACTAAGTGTCATAGCCCACCTCAAAAGCATCATCTATATGTATATACCTTAATATAGCAAATACAGATCTGCACCGTATAGGAAACTCTAGGTGGGGAGAGGAAACTAGAAGGGACTGTAAATCAATACCCTTTGCACTCCACTCAGCAAAACAATGTCCTTTCATTTTCTTAATCCTAACCTGCCGTTTCCAGGCGACCCATTTCTAGGATATCACGTCTGTCAGCAAATTGTCGCTTCATCACTTTGCGACTGCTGTTAATAAAGCGAAATCCCTTTACCGTACGGTTGGGAAAACTAATTTAAAGGCTACCCATTTGACAGATTTTGTGTTCTTAAAAAATAAAAAATAAAAAAAGCAAAACTACCCTATTTTCTTAATGTAGGAAAAGTTAGGACTACTGCCCTACGATCACATTCCATACAACCCTTTACGCGTAAAGATTTCGAGTCCTAGACACGTATAGAAACAACCTTAGACTTCACCATAAAATTCTGATCGACTCTTGTATAAAGAGAGATGATTATGTTTCTTTTGGAGACTTTTAAATGGCGAAAATATGACATTTAAAATTAAAACATGAATTCCTCATTTGACGTAAACATTTTAAGGGCTGATACTAAGTATACATTATGGCTTTTACCGGAGTATATTTCTGCGTTAGACACAGCGGCCAGGACGACACCAGCCTGTCCTCACCTTTATTTTCCCGTCTCAGCTGTTCGATCTCCGCATGCAGTTTCCCCAGGGTTTCCGTGTGCTGCTGCTGCAGGAACTGCAGGTCCCGCTCCAGCGCCGTGACGCGCCGGGGCTCGGACTCCATGCCGCCGGGCGAGGAGGGGAGGAGACGGGGCTGCGGCTGCAAGCGGTCGCGGGGGAAAGGGCGTGGGTAACGAGCTTTATCGAGGCTCACGACGCGGGACCAGTGGGGGAGATTCCCCAGAGGAGGCAGACTGCTACTCGACATGACTACTTACAAGGCTGCGCCGAAAGCGTCGATAGGTCCACGGAGCGCAACTCTAGTCCGAAAAAGCGACATGGACTGACTATAAGTACCGAAATCGGAGCTGGCGTCTGGCTGGGTTAGCACAGGAGGTTTGGAACAAAGATTGTCAAACTGCCTAACAAGACTTCGAATTAAATATTTTAAACATCGCGAACATTTAAAAGGCCTTATATATGAAGGTCTTAGCAAGAAAGATTTTACAGCAGGGAGTGGATCACAGAACAACAGACTGACGGTCTCCCTAACCTTACTTTAAACAACATATTTCACGTCGCGCTGTTAGATTTAAACTTGAGATATATATATATATTTGAGTGTCGGCTACATTTACTTAAACGTGTACTCCCAAATCAAAAACGCAATTACCGATATCATTAAAGCATTTTTTTGTGATTTTCAAAAGATTAAAACACTCGGTATGCCTTGAAACAAATTACATTGCGTCAAAAATGGACCGGCAAGTCTACAGGTTTCTGCGGTGAATGAGTGACCTGGAAATCCGGATTTAGTGCATCATCGTTGTTCTGGCGCACAGCACGGTGCCTTTTCAGCGCATTTCCAAAAGATGCTCGATCGCTCGAAAATTAAATCACACGGCAAAAACACAGTGTAAACACCGTCGCGGAGCAAAAACAAGCAGAGTTACAGATCGCTTTCCGCTCGTTTTAAAGCCACAGTTCAGCAGGCACATGACGTGAAGGAGAGAGTTTAAGGATCAGCCCAGACGCGCTCTTGCCGATACCCGCTGGATCCGCTCCGAAAAAACAACACGCCCAGCCGCCAGATCCATTTGTTTTCTAACAAAAATGTTTGCGATAGAATCGGCAATACTGAACGTCCATCTTACATTGTTTTTAGTGCGATTGCTAATGAAACCTGCGTCCTGCGCTCCAGTCCCTGTGCTCAGTTCCTGGTCCTTTTGTGTAAACGTTGCTATGGCAACAGGACAGCCGCACTTCAAACGGCCGAGCGTCTTGAGGTTTCTAGTCGTGCTGCTGAAACACATCGCAACACTGGGCTTTTAACGCCCTCCACGGACAAAACCCTGCGATATCATTCTCGACTGACGCACACAAAATATCCAGAGGAAAAGAAAAAGGCATACACCGTCCAATGTGCATGGTGTCGTCTTGCACAGCCCCAAACGCAGCGCAGGATTACCTTATATTTATCACCGGGATTATATTGTAACAGCGTTACAATATAGAAAACGGAAGACAAAAGCTGTACTTTAAACAAGGAAAAAAAAAAGATATTCAGTTTCGTTGCAACAAATATTATCATGCATCGGGGTACTTTAAATATCAAAACGAAAATGCGTGTTATAATTTTGTGGGGCTTGAAAAGCGTTAAACCAACTTACTTAAAATTGGATTTGGTTACCGTATGTATAAACCTGTAGGAATTTGTCAGCTGCCTTTCTCTAGAGATGAAAGTAATCCACAGGAAAAGGCGAGTCCAGATGTACAATATTCCATCTGAGGAGCTGGAGGTTTTCATTACAGCATGACCGTGTCATGTGAAATCATGAGAGCACAGAGCCCGAAAGGTGATTTTTTTTTCATGTTTTATTTACAATTTAAAAAAAAAGTAATCGGCAAAATAATAAAAAAAAAGCCCTTTGGAGAACGCTAAGACACGGAATTTTATACAAGTGGTAAAACCGCTGCTACTGGGTTTTCATCTTGTCAGCAAGCAGAGTCATGAAAACCCCGTACAGGCAACAGGCCAGTAAAACGCAGAAGGCGAACGAGAGCGGCCCCATGGAGCAGACGACCGAGGCGAGCAGGTAGAGCAGGGGGAGGGCGCAGAGGGTCCGGTAGCTGCCGAGGCCCCGCAGGCTGAGCCGAGGCCGGGTCTGCCACTCCGGGCTGTGGCGCGTCGCCGGACTCCGGGTCGACTTCCCCGGGACGGGAGGGCGAGTCAAGTAGTAGCGGCTCAGCCGGCCCAGGAAGTCCCGCCTGGAGCACAGCGAGGCCATCTCTCCTGCAAACTGCACCGGTTCTCCGTTACAGCACCTCACGCACAGACCGCCCCCGCCTGCCACCCAGTTCTGCAGAAGGCCTTCTCGGGCACCCGCAGCAATGAACTCGCCCCTCTTTCACGACTGCTACCACAGGCGTGCACTGACTTGTTTTTAATACAGTGCTGAGAAAGCGTCAACTTTAAAAAGCTACAAAGATGTTAAGAAAAGTACCTGCTTGTCAAAGTACAGTACGTAGTACAAATGAGAATACTTGTAAAAAAAGGCTTAGTTTTATGTCTTACTTTAAATGCTTATTCACAAAAAAAACAGTTTTATATAATATGAAAAAAAAATCTTACTCAAATGGCAGCTTCAACACTTACCCGCTCATTAATTAGAGAGGAAAGCCTGAACAGCAGACGAACTAAAACTGCACTTTCATAACTTCTTATAGGCTGCAGCTCTGGGTCCCCCTGGTAGTCGATCTCAAACCTGCGCAGCCCATTAATAATCTGTAAAAACACAGGGCAGTTTTGTGCTCAAGACAAAATTCCACGGTTTATGAAGGTGTGCAGTTCTGGACTCTTTCTAGAGTCAATCATATTCATAAGTGAAGATGTTCCAGGGCATGACCATGTAAGCAGAAAAACTAATATTTAAAAGAATCAGTTCAGTACATTGGCACTTTATAAAAATAAACTCGAGATGTTTACTATCATGACCCATGAAACTCTAGTGTAAATTCTGTATTTTTTAGACTTGCACTCTTCATTCCGTGCCCAAAATGAGAAGCAGAATCCTTCCCTACCTGCATCCTTCCCAGATCTGTGAGGATCAGCCCATTCTCTCCCCGTATACAGTCAGGAAGCTGCTTGGATCCAAAATCGTCTTGTGTCGATACATAGTTCACCATTATCTGGGACAGCTGTCCTGTATTCAGCTATGTGGGGACAGGAATTTATTACACTTTCAAATCAATTAAATCAAATCAAAGGCAGTTACAGTATATTATTTTCCTATGGATTTATTATTGAACCAGCTGCAGCTCAGCAACTTCATGATGGGGCTCCTGTTGGTACAAGAGGAAGCCCTTTAGGACTATAAGGAAGATAACTGGTACACAGCACCACATTGGTGTATCCTGACCATGTGGTTAGTGTCCATGTTTGAATATGTGAAGGAAACATGTTGAATTTCAATCTCAACAGCATCTAAATGGGAACGTACATTTCTCTTTTTACTGCACATGAGCCGTTCAGAAACCCACCCGGAATATCTGACGGAGGTAGTCCAGCACTCTGTCCAAGTACTCGTCTGTCTTCTTTATGCTTTCCAGTCCCATATCATCCACATCACTGCCTGTATAGGACGCGTTGGGATCTGAGGAGCCAAACCCCAGCCAGGAGAGAAAGGACTGATTGGCTGCTGCTTCTGCTGTGTGAGCCGATATGGATTTTGCCGTTTGCCTGGCTTGTGCTATTAGCTGGACCAGTTTTAACACCTGAACAGGTTAAAAACACAAGAACAAGCGTTATCTTTATTGGAAAAATAACACATAAAGTAATAAAAGATTGCACTTATTTATCTGTTCTGCTAAACAGTATAATATTAGAATTTGAAAATGAAGCACAAGAGAAAACTACTGCATTACTTATAACCTATTGGTTTACATACTACACATACATTCTAGTCTTTCAGATTTTTCCCCTAAAGTAATTTGTGGAAGAGATATAATCTTAAAATGTGCTGTATTCTTCCTTTGTGAATCAGCACTGAATACGTTTTGCTTGATTTAGAAACAATCTGAGGTGACAGATCGAATAAAAGTGAAAAAATCTTGAAAAGACAAAATGTACTTTATGTGTTGTTCTCAAGCCGGCACAAGTCAGGATCCCCTTCGGTTTGTGACTCACTGAATTTCGCACTTCGGCTCCAAACATCTGCTTGTACTGGCAGTCCTGCCCCTCCAGGCTGTACACGTGGCTCTTGACCTTGAAGACGGAGTCTGTGATGACTGGCTGCCGCGAGGACAGGAAACTGCCACCGTGGCCGGGGGTCATGAAGAGGCGGTGTTGGCGATGGTGGAGGACGTGCTCCGGCTCCAGAAACAGCTGCTCCCCTGAAGAAATAAAAAAGGGACACCCCTCTGGATTACTGTCCCAGAGACTAGCTGGCAGGGGGCAGAAAGTCTTTGGCACGGCTGCAGCAAACCTGAAAGAGATGGGGTCTTTAGGAATCGTGTGCACCCAGAAACCGCACAAATGACTTTAAACACTGCTGGACTTGGAAATAAAAGTCTGCTTTTGTTTCTAGGAACTGTGCAGGCCAGGGGGGTATGCAATCCTTGTTCTGGAAGACCAGCCAGTGTGTTTTCTAGGTCTCTGTTAAATTGGCTGCATTTAATTAATTATGTGCTGATTGAACTTAAGTGCCAAGCTGGAGTAAAAACCTGCCGACACACTGACCAGGGCCAGAATTTCCCTGGCACCCACTAGGGTGATGTGTGGCCACAATAATACATCAGCAGCCCCACTACACAGCAGATCAGGTAGAGAAGTCTGAGAATTTACAACACCAGCTTAATTAAGGAGGCCACATTGAGCAATACCAATACCAAGGAACTCAGCCAGGAGTAATGAACAGTGCAATGGGATCATTAATGACCAAGCAGCCAAAAACGTAGGTTACACTCTCTTCCAAAGGACAGTAACCCCTGTAAACACACTCGCACTTTGGAACCGATGTGGAAATTCTGATCCACAGAGAGGAGTGTTACCTACTGCTTCACCAATGCCACATTTGCCCTTTCAATTCCCTTGACTATGCTAACAAATCCATAGGTTAACAAACCATTTTACTGAAGGCATCAAACACCAATAACATGCAAAGGAAGACCGATCAAATTTCAGAGGTGGCAGATTAAAGAATATACAACAAAAAAATGTTGTTTTTTAAAATTTAGAAAATAAGGTAGGTGCTACCACCTTGCTACAATACTGGTGAGGAGAAAAAACTAATTAAACATGGCTGGGAAGAAACTGTAATCATATTTGTAGCACTATTCTATCCCTTTTAGTTATCACTGGCAGAAGAGCAGTAACAATTAAAGAAGTGTATTTCATGGTTCTCATTGGAACCATGTTTCGTCGTACTGCCTAAACCATTCCTGTCATATCATAACCTAATAACTTTAGTCACAGAAATTACAGTATACAACATAGTGCTGAGAAAAAAACACCCATCTATTTTTTTGTGCCTTACCTTTCTGAATCATTTCTGACAGGTTAGGTTGTGCAAAGACTTTTGAAACCCTGAAGAGCATCAGAGCATTTTTGGCATTAACCAGATCAGTACGCACTGCTCGGTTTAGAAAACCCTGGAACAGTTTGGTGTACATTAACAGATTCTCCTGCACAAATGAGGCCCTGGTAACAGAAACAAGGAAAACAAGAAAGCAAAGGAAACCAGATTAGAAATTCTGTAAGGGATAAGTTATACAGTACAACATAATGTGCATCATTTGAGGTACAAACACATTACATCCTCATAGGGGACAACTTAACTTTTACATATAAAATACAATGAAAATACGATGAAATAAAATTGATGGTTTCCTGTAACTGTTTGTTTTCATTTATGGAACTCCCAAAATATCCACTGACAGATCTGTCAATTTAGCAACTGGTACAAAAAAAACAACTAATCGATCATTCTCAGGGAGAATAGGATGAACAATTGGTATAAAAGACATTGCTTTAAATCAGGGGTGTCAAATTCTGTTTGTGTGGAACTGCAGTGTCTTCTGACTTTTTTGTCCAGCCAAACTCTCAGCTAATTAATTGATCTAATTAACAAAGTAAATGGATAAATACAACACAACCCTAAAGGCTCTGGGGTTACTGTATCTTGAAGGCTCAACAGTATTGTTTTAACTATAAACTGTACAAAATCTTCTCTAAAAATAAATGTAATGAGTTGAAGCAAGTCTGCTGGAATGGAAACCAGCAGGCACCACAGTCCTCCACTAATGGGAGTCTCCAACACCCCTGCTTTAGGGAAATACGAGAGAAAAAGAACACTTAGTATTTCAAGAATAAGGCTATGGTGGTTTTCAAACAAATCAAAAAGGAGAAAATGATTTTCTTCTACATATAAATATCAGTCGGATAGAAAGGACCGTACCATTTGTCAGGTACACTTCGGTTCTGATTATCCGCCTGTGGGCTCTGCTTGTCAGTAGTGTACCTCCATGGCTGTATATAACTTAACCACGTTTCCAGTACCTTTGGAGAAAATGAAAGCACTTGAGATGAAAAAGAGTATATATGTCACATCTTACAAAGTCCAAAATCATCTTCTTGTCATCCATGTTCACTGCATAATTACTTCAGAATTCATAATAAAAAAAATACATACTGCTCTAAAGGAAGCATCAAGGGGCCAGTGACCAAAGCAGTGCTGCAGGAAAACGTACAACTTCTGTTGCACAAACCGAGGGATCACCACTCTGGAGACAGATAAAACCACTTTCAGTTATTCAGTTATGCAGCTGAATTGCTTACAAGAAGTGGCAAAGTTACACATGAAAACCGAACGTACATCAGAACGACTACAGTTTAAAGTGGGCCATTCTGCCTCATCATACTCATTTAGTTGCGTTTTAGTTGCATAAACCATTACTGGAACAAAACCCACAGAAAGGCGTAGTGTACATAATCCATCTGGGCCTGCATGTGTTTGGGTAGTGCAGAGCATATACTGTACACTGCATAGCCACCCATGCCTGGGGCCACATGGCTGGTATCTAACTGGCCAACACTGCTGGATTTCCCATCTGTTCCCCCATGCTGACCCTGTGGGTCAGATCCCAGCAGTGTGGTTGGGAATTCTTGGATGAACCTACCCAAAGATGAATACCCACCTCTTGAACTCCTCCAGAGGGCTGGTGTGAGAGTGTGTCGAGGGCGAGGAAGATATCTGCTCTGGCTTCAGACTGTTGGAGAAGGCATGGAGGTGTTTCACTAGGAGTCTCACCACCAAGACGTGCTCCTCTGTAGGGCTGAAGGGCTCCTAAAATTCCACAATTCCACCCCCAGGAGAAAATCGGTTACATGTTGTTCTATATACACAGGGATTCCTCTTGTAACAGAGCAAATCACAACAGGTCACATGATGGAGGGGAAAAATTGCAATTAATTAAATACTAAGCATGACATGTAAGTTGTCTCCTAGTGTATTCTTAACTGAATTAATTAAATATCTGCTAATATTATCTGCTGTCAAAAGATGTTAATTGCACAAGTACTGTTAAAAGTAAAATGGTTTTGTTTCTCAAAGCTTGTGATAAAAATGAGAATACTCTGTGGATCACTTCGTTTTCAAAAGGATCACACACAATTGTGCCCTCCAAATGTATTCATACCCTTTATGAATCAGGAACAATATACATCAAATAAGATATACAGATTGGATTGTTTCTTGCTTACATTCTGCATAAAAGTCATATTCGCCATAAATAATTAGTTGAATTCCACGAAACATGGGAGCTAGATTTATTCACACCCCGCTGTGGTTAGTGTTTTGTAAATTCTCTTCAGGAAGGGACTGCACAGACTAGACACCTCCTGTAGTTTGCTATGCAGTTCTGGCACTTCGGAAGGAAAATTGCCTCAATGATGAAAAACAGAAGTCCTCTGCTTTCCATTAGTGAACTGTCATCTTCAGGTAGAATCACAAAATGTTCAATTGGATTGCGATTTGGAAATTGAGGACGGACAGTCGTAACATTCATTTTGTGTGCAGTTAAACATTCCTTTGTCACTTTGGATGTACAATTTGGATCACTGTCATGCTAGAACACAGAAGGAACCTGGTGAAAAAATGTGACACTCATTTTCCTGGAATTCAATTATTTAAGACAAATATTACTTTTCTTAGTTTAGTACCATTTTGATTACAGTCAACACAATAAGACTTGAAGTGGGAGATATCCAGTCTGTAACTCATTCTACTATATTACATTTTTTGTTCGTATTTCAATGGGGGTATTAATAAAAGTGTAAGATGCTGTATATTATATTTGCAAAAAAATAACTTCAGCATCCTATGGGATTCCCCGAGAATGTTTTTAAAAAGCTCATTAAGAGTTTTGCCTAGAATTCAGAATTAGTTAATATAATCCAATTTTCTATTCTGAAGTGACAGCATCAATCATTAATTGCTCTTAAAATAAAATATTAGAGCAAAATCACCCTAAATGTGCAAGGAATAGTAAAACAAATTTAAGAAAAGATCTAAAACTAAAGAGAAGCATTAAAAACAATTTACATGTAATACAACAGATTAAAGCAGATTTTAAACCAAAGTAGTACATACTTTGATTAGAGCAATAAAGACCACTTAACCATATTTTAAACTCTTTCTTTGAAGCTCTTTGTAGTTAAAACTCGAAAAGGTAACTTCCTTTCTATCAAAATACCTATGAAGATCTACTTTTGGCCAGTTCTGTAGTGCTGTGGTAGTGAATGTTATTGAGACAGACGATGAAATGGGGGGAAAGAAAATATGGCCAACATACACAGGTAAAAAACATATAAAAAAGAATGACATTACTGTGTATAAACACAAGGCATGCATTGGAAGAGAAAATCAAATGATGCTTAATGCCACCCACAAACCCCATCTTTGATTTGTTTTTGTTTTTTCCCCCCTAAGTTGCCTTAGACTAGCTCATCAACCCACAACAATACAATGAAAAGATAAAAGTACTTGGTACGTGTGGAGGGTCCCATAGCCGGGCGGGGTGGGAGTGCTGCAGTGCAAACTGGAAATACCCAGACGGTACTGGAGCACCTCCAGCTGAGAGGAACGGCACAAAGAAAAAAAACAACACCGGGGGGAGGGAGGAGAGAGAGAGAGAGAGAGAAGGAAGAGAAGAGAGGAGGAGGAGGAGGGTGAGAACGAGAGAAAAGAGAGGAAGGTAGAAGGCAATTGAAAGAGATCAAAAGGAAACAAAAAAGGGGGGGTTGGGGTAGGAGAAAAAAAACATTGACAAAACAAATAGTATGCCAGGACATCGGAGACGCAGTCGCCACTTTCACGTCTCTTACAGCGCTGGCCTGCGCTAAGGACTGCTTACTAATTATGGACACTGTCAACTGGGGGCTGATCTATTTATTGCATTCTTGAATTCTAACATGAAATACGTTTCAGAAATGGGAGAAGTGCTAACTGGCATGAATAAACGGGTCAACTGAAAAGAGAGCCGCACGGCATGTCTCTTATTGGTAGTAACTGTGGTACAGTATATTCTCAGCAGCTGATTGCTGTCTTAAACTCACTCACTGTGTGCATGGTGGAGGCCAGTGCAAGATGAGAAACAGCCTTCATTTGAGAGTGCGACACACAGGAGCATGTTCAGAATGGAAAAGTCAGCTGAAACCAGTCATTGTTAATCTAAACTTTCTCTTCACCTCTGAGACTTCAGAAGTAGTGGTTCACTTTGCTCGCTCTATACTGGTACTAAGGGCACAGTAGCTGACCTGCATGAATGTGTACACATTATATCTTTAAAAGACATACTGAATGGGAGAAGGGCCCTTATTTATTCAAGAGTTAATGCACTGTTGTGCTGCAATAGTTCTGAAATGCAGTGTATCAGCTGAAAGGACATGGTTGGGAACAGCGACTGTATTAATTAGGGTCTTTTAATGACTAATGGAGCATGGAGTCAGCTTCAAACAATAAACAGCCAACATGAGTAAGAAGACATAACATGACAACAGAAGAAAAAGCAACTGATAGGGACACCATGCAATGGAAATCAATTTGAAGCACCAGCACTGCCAGGCTCTCATGCTGGATTGGCGCAATTCAATATCACCACTGTTGCCCATAAATCTAAAGACTAATATTTACAGATTCACAGTACCCGTTTCATCAAACATTCTGACTTGTCATCAGTTTACCGCCTACAAAGATCAACATAGCTCAGCACACTAAAATGACAGAGATTGCCCTCATTTTTGATCGTCTTAATTTTATTAATAATTAATAATTGTTGGATTTGTAAAAGATGAGAAATAAAGAGAATAAGAATTAATAAGTGAGAACTCTGTAAGATTAAAGAGATTTTTATCTTAATGATACACTGATGACAGACTCTAGTAGAAGAGAAATGCTTAAAAAAAGAACAGCAATTGATGGACTGAGGCATGCTTGAACGTGAATGAAAAACAAAAATCCCAACAGATGTACTTCTTGAAGAATTCAAAATCAGAATAGCTTCTTAGCGATCTGGATAGAAAACGAGTTAAAGGAGAAAAGAAGAGGCTGAAGCCAACTGCTCTTTCCTATTCAAAAAGATGCATGCAAGCTTCACTCATTACTGAGCTTCACGTGCTTGAAGAGTGAAAGGCAAAAACCCACAGCACTGCGTGAGGAGGCAAAGAAGCAGGCTCCTGTGCTCTTACCTTCACCTGCGGGGACTGCATCTTCTGGTACATCTCCAGGGAGTAATGATGAAGCCACATTTCCACAAACACCTGGCAGGGAAGACATTCAGGACACCTGAGCATCAGCATCTCATTGGCCTATGACATGTTTTTAGCTTTCGACTGGGTAAAGCATTGGCTGCTTTTGATTCCAAATGGGAAATAGTTCAAACTTCCAAATTACAAAGCCAATAAAGAGAATTCTTACTTTTCACATGCTCTTATGAAGGAGTGAGACTACTATCGGTGTAATGTACTTGCTCAGTCCATCTTAATGGATTTTTTTTTCATACGTTGCGAAGTTCTCTGTCGACGGTAGAAAAATACTGCTCTCAAAGCCCCTAAAAAGTAAACTAATTAGCAGAAAAAAATCTAAAATCCTTTGGAATGAAACAAACGGACTTAAAAGACCCCTCACGTATAAATCACTGTATATATTTGTAAAAGGTCAAGAAATTCACATTGCAGTGCAGACGCACCTGAAGAAGAGTCTCAGACCTCCAGATCTCCTGTGCTGCTGGATCTGCATTTACAGAGGGCTGGTGCGAAATGTGACGTTTCAGGAGGCTGCTGTAGTGGACACCATAGCCTGCAAATGGCACTGTGGGGGACCTGAAATACAACAGCATCCAGTCACAAGTGCAGAGTTAAAAGAAACTAACAAACACACATATGAGCAGCAGTGTGGAGCAGTGGTTAGGATTCTGGACTCATAACTGGAAGGCTGTGGGTTCAAATTCCAGGGGGAGGCACTGGAGTTCTACCAGTGAGCATGGCAATCCACCTGAATTGTTCCAGGAAAACACCCAGCTGTACAGATGTAAGTTGCTTTGGATAACAGCATGGCCTAAAAAAATTGGTAGCTGATGTGGAACATTTCATTCTGGACAATAAAAAGCAACGACTGGGATAAAAAGAGAGTGCGAACTGCAGGAATGGAGGAATTAAAGCACATATTGGAGCAAACCTAAACTGCAAGGGATTGCACTGGACAATGAACAGCCAAACAGAAGACCTTGTTTACGATGACAAGGTGAGATAAAAAATGTGATGAGCACACTACAGAGAGGCATGTACAGATTAAAACAGGCTGACAGGTGAATGAAAAACACATTATTTCAGTTTAATAATCTACTCACAATTACAAGCAGATAACGTAAACACAATCAGTTTATTGACATGAATCCTGTAAAAGATTCATTTCAGATTAAGAAGACAACCATGTCCATTGATTTTTTAAAATCTAAATTAATGGAGGCACAATTTAAATGTTTTATTACCTGGGAGCAGGAGGTGACACCGTGCCTCTGACATCTGAGAATGGGGACGGTGGCACATTTCCCTCTGTAGGCAAAAAGTACTTCAGGTAGTTGTCAACCAAGACAAAATAAGCACTGTCCGAGGCGTTGACATGCTGCCCCACTGGATAATTCTGGAAGGAAGCGGGAAGAAAGTCAAGCTACCAGCATCGGAAAAACATGATCAGAAACGTACATGGTTCAATGGAGTGATAACAGGACTATAGTGGATCAAACACTATCCTTATAAATATGTGCACAACTGTTACTACAGCACAGCCACCCAACGTATTTCTGGAGAAATGAAGAGCTCCAATTTTTTAAAAAGATTAAACTGTAATGGCAGCAGCATAGTGGTAGGTAGCATATGGCTCAGGTATTTAGACCCGCGTTTGATGGTAGCCCGGGGCACTTCCTGTGGGGAGACTGCATGTTTTCCCTCGGTTTGTGTGTGTTTTTGCCCGGGGTGTCTTTCCTGGTACAGTCCAAAGACATGCTGACTAGGCATCTCTGTATTGTCACTGTTTGCTTGTGCACACACATGCACTTTGATGGACTGGCATTCCATCCAGGGTGGAGTCCTGCCTTGAGCCCTGTGCTCCAGGGATAGATTTTGGACTTCCTTGGGAAATTCCCAGAATTAAGGGGCTTTGTGTTAACAGATGGCTGGAAATAAAATTCAGTTTAAAGGAGGATTTTGACTCATTTGATTCATTATCCCCTCCAGCCATCATTCTGCATCTTAGGTGTACTGACAGAAATTACTACATTAATATAAAATTATACAAAGTTGCTCTTACCTTTGGAGTAATAAGGCTTGAAGCAAAACAAAACATATAGTATTCAAATGGATCTGACAGCTATTAAGGAATTAGACACCAAAACACAATTATTCTTTCATGGTCTCTAGTTCTATTATTTTCGTTATCAATCAGCCAAGATGTTTTCATTTCTAAAAAAGTAGCATTAGCAAAATGACTCAGTAAAGCCCTTAAAATGTAACTGTTAAAGCCAAATAAAACTCTCAATTTCTGGTTTATCGGGTAAATTAGTACTTTCAAAAACAATAATTATTTTACATTTTGTGGACACCCTATCTTAAATAAGAATTACACTTTGAGAAGTATATATTAGGACATGCAAACAATAGAATTTTTAAAATTAATATTCCCAAATACACAGTAAAGAAGTAGGTGTATTTATGGACAAAATATATGTAAGGACATGTTCCTTCTCTAAATATATTCAAATCTCAAAAACCATGGGTGAAAGAAACTTCTTGATGAGCACCCTATAAACAGCAGAAGCAGGCGATGCATTTTCTGGAAAGGATACTGAGGGACAGGCTGAGGCTCAGGAGGCCGGACAGAGGGGACTGCAGCTTGTTGTGGAACAGCGGGCAATCTGGGAGGACCCCTCCCTGGATGGAGGCTCTCACTGGACCCTGGGTGAGAAAAGAGAGCCCATCACCCATCAGCCTTCTTAGCGACAACCACCTGTTATTAAGTTCTCTCTCTTCCTGTTCACACTCACGCGCCCCCCTACAGTCTTGAGTGCTGTCTCTTGCGGGCCCAGCCCCCAGTTGTAACGCACCACCTCTTAAGCGACAGTCAGTGCGTCAGGGGTGTTTATGTTTTTAGACCCTGGCCAGCCTTGCCAGCCTACCAATAAGGACCGCTAAGACCCCTGAGGGGTTCAGAGCACTTCTTTCTGTACTTTACTAACCTCCACTTCCACCCATGAATACTAACCACAGCACCCCAATACTAACCTCATGTATAGTGCAATAAAATCAAAATAAGCACAATCTCTTGATGTGCATTATTAAGATAAGAAGGAAATGTTAACAGTGGTATTGACAGCTCTAAAAATGGAATACAAGTAACAATAAGATTAATATCTACTGATGTTTTTAGTGAATGGGATAGGTTAGATTGGTTTACATGGTTTGTATCAAGAGCTCTTTTGGCACGGTCATGATAGAGTTTATAAGAACTTACAGGAAGATAACTGACTGAAAACTCATATTTATACTCCTCAGCTTGCAGCTTGTACACGAGCTTCATCATTGGACCACTGGAAAATAGATAAGTTCAAACTCACAATAAAGACAAAACCAAAATATTAAATAAAATTTACAGCTGTCTTATTCTCACAATATATACCGATGGAAAAAAGAAACGCAACACCTCCTCCTCCACACTCTGGGCCTCCCGTCTGCGTGGGACAGGCTGAAGAGTGACTCATCCATGAAGAGGACCTGATGCCAATGCTGACGAGTCCATCACAGCCTCTGTCTGGCCCCAGTCAGTCAGGTGTGAGTCTAGGAGGTGTGAGCAGAGGGTCTCTGACAGGTCGTCTTGCTCTAAGGCCAGCAGCATGGAGCCTGTCACTGATGCGGGCATTGTGTCTGCCAGCAGTTTGAGCAGCAGTATGGGTCGCAGATCTGAAACGATCTCTCATGTGGACCAGTCTGATGTGTCGGTCCTGCTCTGGTGTGGTCATTAGAGGGTGACCGGATCTTGGACGGTCTGTCCTGCCGGTCTGCTAAAACCTTCTCTGCAGTCGGGACACAGTGGAGCGGCTCACTCCATAGCGTCTAGCAAAGCTGGCACATGACAGGCCTGCCTGCAGCATGCCAATGGCCCTCTCCCTGGCTTCTGGTGGCATTCGAGGCATTCTGGAATGCACAGAAAACTAAGTGTGGCTTTTTTCTTGCAGTAACCCAAGCTTTGAATTAAGACCTTTTTAAAGGTGACCTGATCAGGCATTGTTCTACCTGGACCTTGTTGGATAAAAGTGCACCTAACGAGCTTTTGTGTAATTGGCAAATTGCAATGCCTCACTGCACCAGCTGTATTGTTGGTCACAGGGCTTTAAACAAATGGACAACTTTTTGTGAAAGTACATAAGCTATAACTATAGTATTCTCATTCCAGAAAATGTTGCGTTTCTCTTTTCCATCAGTATATATAGAGCCCTGAGTGGCAAAGTACAGTATTACATGATTTTGCAGGATTACAAGCCAGTGCCTTGCTATAGGTTCTTTCTCGATTTCATCTGTGGGAATATGAAAACTAATCTTCAAAAGTGAGATGAACAATATGCATTATTAAATCACAGAATATCAAATAAAGACATGAGACACTAGCTAATGACTGAAATACAAGGCAATTTAAAGGCTTTCAATAAGAATAAAAAGAAGCACTTTTATAGCCGTGGAAGCTATAAAGATTTGTGCTAAAGGTTTACCTTGGATTAAGGAACTCCAATACTATATTGTATTCATTTGCTTTGGCCTGGAGGTATCGCAGATTCCAGCCCACAAGGACGCCATCCAAGCTTCCAAAGACAGTCTCCACCAGCCAAGGAAAAATAAAGTGCAGCTCCTGTGGAGCCCAGATACAACACATCATTAGACAAACTCCCCATCAACTACACCTGTGACACACATCCCTACAGAATGTGTCTGTCTCCTTAGAAGCCTCCTCACCAACAGAGAGGTTAAAAACAACTGATTAAACTTAAACATAATTTGTTTTAGTAGTAATGTACATTCTAAACGAAACGCCACCACAGATTTTAAACTCAACTTTTAACTCTCATCAGAAAAATGTCTGTTTTATTTTATAGTCAAGAGAAACAAAAGTAACAATAACGCAACAGCTGTTCAGATTAGAGTACAGTTAGCGACTGGGTTATCAACTGCTGCATGCTGTGCTTCATGCTACTATTTTAGAGGCATATGGAGCTCTGCACCTGTTTTTCTAGACCCTACCCAGTAAACTGTAGTGACATTTTTAGAGTAATATGGAACAGCTGTCTGACCCATTCTTTGTTAACAGAGAGAAGGCTTCATGCCACAATAAAGACTTCATAAAGGAATCGACAGGCCAAACTGCAGAAAGGAACACTTTAATTATCCAAATGCTTCCCCTGTACTTGAAGCCATCCCTAATTACACACATTCATTTTATGCAAGATATCCATAAAAGAGTTTAGTGACTACTCAACCTTGGCAGGATACTCATCAATTATCTTCACCAGTTCTTGGCATTGCTGGAGAAGAGACTTGTTCATGCAATCTGCCTTCAGATTTGCCTGCAGAAAAAATATATTTTAGCTTCTCAGCTACCTCTGAAAATCACATAGATGTTTCAGGTTGAAGACAGTGCACTGCTCTACACCACCTCTGAAACCTGAAGGCAGATTTACAGCTGAAGGTGCTTCAGTTAAATCCAAAAGTGAATCATCCTTGTTTTCTCTTCCTGGCTTTACCACAGTACACACTCTTAATACAATGCACACACCTTGTAGCAAACAAGGAACAAACAAAAGACAGAACTTAACTTCACCCAGTGTTAAGATGCAGGATGTTTTTATCATATACAATTTCATGTTTCTAACATGTTTCTTTACCTTGTGTCCACTTTGCAGATTCGACCATAACATTGAAACACAACTGACAGCTGCATGCACACATACACTACTGTCTGAAACATGTATAGAGTTACCTACAACTGCAAAGGAAACAAAACTCATCGACTCATACTAACCAGTAAGAAACTGGGCTGCTGTAATTGAGGAACAGCCATGGGAACAGGGTTGATGGAGTTCTGTTTGCTAGAATATACAGAGAAGTTGAGATTAACCACACACTTTTACCACACTAAAATGTAAGTGAAAAATATGATCAGTTAAATATAAGAAATGTCTTCAAGTCTATACAGCCAGAATTGCAATACATTATATACAGTACTGTTCTTAGGAGGACGAACTGAAATGGGTTATATGCAGTCCCATTTCTTAGGACGATGAACTGTAATATCTGACACAAAGTTCAGCTAGATGAATTTGAATAAAAGAAATGTACTCAATGTCGTTGTTCAGGTCCTGTACAATAAAGAGAAAGCATATCGAATGATTGTGTATCCATACATAATTTAAACGTTAGTAATACAAAAAATACAAACATTAATATTATTTCATTCGTACGCTCTTTCCTCGGAGTAATTTGTCAGTGCACTGTGAAATACCACGAGAAAAGCCAAGATTATACTAAAACATTTAAACGTAACCATTGTTATACAAGCAAACAATTTAATAGACGTGTTTTAAAACATCTTTATAAAAACAAAATGAAAAACTTAACTGCATTACACATTTTAAAACACTTATTGGCGTAGAGCAAAGCAGCACGACCTTAAAAACTTGTGTTCAGGTTGTTACTGGCACTTCACAAGCACAAATATCGGTTTCAGTTGCGTTTACGGCTCAACGTTTACAGTCGACAAAATAAACAAACAACACTTTCTCTCTTTATTTGCACTTTTAATTTTTTAACCTCTTACGTTTGTTTAAGAAGCCTCCAGCTTTGATACTGTAACTCTCAGTTCCAAACTACCGCGTTGCCGTGCAAAATGTGCGACGGGCTTTGATGTCGTCATCTCTAAGTGACGGAGGCGTTCGGAAACATGAATTACGTGCTCAGCCTCTTTCCAGTGTAAGTGCGCCGCCTGGCTATAGTTAGTTGTGTTAGTTTGTAGAAATCAGATTTTGTGCATATTGTTTGTATATAAAACCGTTCTTACAACAACCGAAAACAAACAGTTGAAGAGGTTAAAGATTATCTCGATTTGGTATCATAGATCATGCTTTAATGGTGTCCAGTAGATCATAGAACACGTTTTAATGGATCGAGTATGTGTTCTTGCACATACTAGAGAGGACTGTGTATCTGCAGAAAATGAGAAGTTGTGTCAGCTTTAAATTTAAATGAATTTCACATTTTCAGATTAATTTTAAAATATGTAAACATGCAGAATTGGTTTGGTGTAGAGCAATGTATGCAAGCACACATACTTATGGAAATACGGGATTCTGAGAAGTGGAACTGAAAACATTTTTTAAAAGTTTTGATATCTATATTGTATATCTAATATTTATAGCAGTATAAATGCTTAGTTTTTTTGTATGAGCACGTAGAGATTGAAAGCTGTCAAGCTTTATGCTGAAAGCAATAAAGTGATCCCAATTTACCTGTGAAGGAATCCGTATACAGTTGGTCAACATGCATGTAGTTGCCCTTTCATTATTTTTTACTTTTGTGCGACACTTGTTTTGCACTTTCAGTGTTGTTGTGGTAGCCATATTGTATTTTTACTATTTTATTTGATTATTTGCCTTACTACAAACTAACTGTAAATATTAATGATAATTATAAAGTTAGACATGTAGGCGGATACACATGTGAGTTGTAATGTTAAAAAGTGTAAATATAATGTGAAAACATTTGTAACTAAACAACAGCCTTTATAGTGACTTTTTTAATTCCTTAAAAAAGCATCACAAGAGTAATACTAATACCTTTTAAATTCTTTTTACAAGGAAACAGAATATGAACAATTGATTCCAGTTAACATTTGCGGTTGTTCTTCTATTTCCAATTCGCTGTCACAGCAGTAAAGTACAATTTGACTCCTAGTATGGCCATGTCAACGTGCAGATTCCCGTTTCCCTGGATACAGGGTCCTTGTCCTCACCTGTACCTCTTTCTTCTTGTCCTCACCTGGCCTCTCTGCTCCTCTTTTTCTGACCACATGTTTGGTCCTACTCAGCTGTTCTGTCTTTTCTCTCCCTGTGCACCTCGATGACGCAAGAGTCAGTAGTGCCTGATTTTTATTACACAGTGTTGACTCCTAAATATTTTGTGAACCGAAGCAAAGCAAATTTGTACTAGCAAAATAATGTTAAGTGGCTTTTATAAACTCAAGTGTGCATGAGCAAAAGCAATGATAAGATTGTTTTTTTTGTGTGTGTTTTTGCTTTGTTTTTCATATGTGGTACTAGATAGGCCATGTTTGGCTTTTGTGCTAGACACTGTCTACTTTCTAGTCTCTTCTGTTATTTGTAGTACAAAGGAAATAGCATTAACCAAAGCTTTTTGGTTGTGTCTTAGCAACAAGAAAGAACTTTAAGGTCAAGAATAAGCTTTATGCCATATGTGGGATGTTTGCTTTTCAATGTAATTTACATAATGTCATCAGTCCTTATATATATATACTGTACAAACAGAAAACTGCTTGTTTTTTTACTATCCTTTCTGCTCCTCAGAAGGAACCTTTTTTTTTTACCCAAGCCTCCACAGCTCTCCATGAAAGTTGTGTGCTTTGTTGATTTTGTATGGCTCAACATTTTTCTCTAACAGGTCACTTATGAGGTTTCCTCACATATGTGGCTTATCTGTTTCTGATACTCATATTTTATCTAGTTGTGTACAATGAAGGACTTTTCTGTTTCCTTTGTTGTAAAATACTGGGCCATGTCTCCTCACAGCTCTGGGGCTCCTGGGGTGCTGTCTGTTTGGAGTTTGTGTGTTTGTGTGGGTTTCCGTTTTCCTCCCACACTCCAAAGACATACAGGTAGGTTAATGGGCTTCTGGGAAAATGTGCCCTGGTGTGAGTGTGTGTGCATCTGTGTTTGTGTGTATGTGTGTCTTGCACCTGTGGTGCCTCCTGTGACCCTGTACTGGATAAGGGGATTAGAAATGGTTGGATGGATATTTTACTTTTCTGAGATTTGGGCTGTATGGAAATATGTACACACCTTCTCCTTGGTCCATGCTGTATTGTTTGGGTAGGTGGCAGCAGAGTACAGTCAATCTCAGAGCAGGCAGTTAAATGAAAGGGTAAGGGGACGTTTCTGCACAAGTAGCAGGGATACACTAATGGCCTTGTGTAGATTTATGTATTAGTCTCCTGCTGGTTGTGAAAAAATGAATTAATTGCATCTCCGGACCATTGAACAAAAGCCACTTGCTTAATAATACTTTCAGCAATAACAATTCCCCACGTGTTAGACATTTCATAAATAAAATTGTTTAGATATATTGTAGCAAAATCTACCCATTTGTTTCTTGTAGTTAAAAGTACCATAATGATGTGAGCAGAGGTTTTGTTTGGGAGAAAGCATTACATGAAGGAGTTTGTTAGACCATGTTTCATTCTCTACCTACAGTAGTTTGTTTGAATTGCATTAAGAAACGGAGAGCATTTATGGTAGGCTGTATTAAGATGTATACTTAGGAAGATTTATTAGAAAAGAACAGTATCAGTGATATCATCCCTGATAGTAGTTGAGAAGATTCAATGTGACAATATTGTACAATTATTTTCTATTTACATTCAAGAAAATAAAATCTACATCAATAGGGACATTCTGGAGGGCAATAATTGGCAGCCCTTTGACAGACTTTATCAGTGGTGATGTTTGATGTGATGTTGTTTCCTGGCTGATGCATGGATTTCCCAGACCTTGTCCAGAAAAAGCTTTGGAACGCAGAATGGAGGAAGGAATGTGCAGCTGTGTGCTGTGCTTTGCAGATGTAAACTGTGGTGAGGATGTGAAATGTTATGTAAATCAGGGTCACAGTAAGACTTCAGTTCCAGACAAGATTGATGTAAAAGAACATTGACAGAGCTCCTTAGCATCAGCCTAGTTTAGCCTACTTTGAGAAAAGTGCAGACTATAATGAGCTACTTTGTGTTACAACTGGTGGATTTTAAGATTGGGGTTTTAAATTACAAGCCCAAAAAGCAAAAATGAGATCATACCCCGTGGAGAAAGTGGTAATACAAAACTCAGTTGAACTTAAAAAATAGCTGTAGGTAACGCAGGAAGTGGTTGCCATCTTTTCAAGGAGGGAAATGGATTTTGACATGTTATCATTTTTGATGCAAAGCTTCAATCATGAAGTCAATAGAGTGACAAATCTCTTGAGCTGGGTATCTTGACATTTAGGCATCTATGTTTTCCATGCTTTGGTGGAAGTTGAAATAAAGAAAAAAAACGTCAGGACATCTTGTGCTAGTTTCCAGTAGGAACCAAGCTTTTAAAAGTCTGAAATTATGTGATGAACAATTTCAGTAACTCCCTTTGGATGCTATCCCCAATATACATAATGTGTTGTCAGCTCCTTCACATAACTGTCAAGCCATCATTTAGTGCAATAAAATAAAAGCAGTAACTTCCATTTCTGTCACTCAGAGCTGTAGTTGGATTTCAGGTTTAGAAAAGACAATAAACTTTGTATCCATCAGTATGTGAAAGTTAAGTATTTTTTTAATAAAACATTAGAGTGCAACAAAGTTCTTTGCAGAAAACAACTGAATGCTAGTTTGTACCCTATTTAAAATTCTGCTATATTTGCTTAATCTGGTCTGTAAGAGCTTTGTAATTAAATGAGGCGTTAGTGTGGCTCAGTGTTCCCTACCTTTGGATCTTCTGTGTTAGTTTAATCATGGCACTCCACTCTGTTCCAGGATGGAGAGCAGCTGGTAAATGCAATGATAAAATCCCTAAGCTGCACTCTTGTGGTGCATCATGAAACATTTTAGCAGTGCGCCTTTATTTAAAAGTGCATTCATACAACGCAAGTGTACCCACTAAAGTCTGTAGAGCGCATCTCTGAGGTAATGAGGTGGTGCGTTTTAATTAATGGTTGATTAATAATTCTAATTTCATCACTCTCAGGCAGAGCATTATTGTAATCACATTCCGCCCTGGTGTTCAATAACCTATTGTTCTCGGTGGGGATGGATAGATGTGTTAAATCCTTTTGATGTAGATGCAATCTCATGGCACTCATATCACCACAGTCATTTGCAGGCTGCATTTATGCCAAGTGTTCATGATTGATTGGGGTTTTTTTTTTTGCTGTTTTTATTTTTCAGAGACAGTCCTTTCTTTCTTTTACACCTGTCTGAGGCCTCCAAGTGCATCAGATCCCAGCTTTCAATTAATCTATTGCTGAAGCTATATCAGGCAGGCGGGGGCATGTGACTGCTTGTCAGACAAATTTAATAATAGGCAGTGTGACACATGCTGTGCTTGATCCCTGTGAAAACACACTCTTGTCTCTGCAGTCTCCAAGCTTCTTGTGCCAAAACAGCAACACCAGTGTCTAACTGATTATTACCAGAAGCTGTCAGCACTAAAATTTAAGTGCAATGTTATTGTAAATTGCACTCCAGTATCATTTTTAAAATGGGATTTGCGATGCTATAGTACTGTATAACAGAAGTATCTGTGTAACAAATTGCAACAAGTGTTTTAAATGAAAGGGACTGTTTTCATTTGATTAAATTTTACCCTGAACTTAATCAATTGATGAATTAGAGGAAGTTCAAATGTATTTTACTTGTTTGGGATTTCTCTGCCTGAGAATGTTGCCTTATTATAAGTGGTGTAAATGAGAAGAAGGTAGTGCTTTTAAATCTCATAACCTTGGCTAATATCTTCTTAATGTCTGACAGCCTGATTTTTTTACAGAGGAGTTCTGTAAGAGAAATTGTGGGTGGCAGTGTAAAATAATATGTATCCCTCTCCCAAAAGAGGCAGCTACAGTCAGGCAGATTGTATGAAACTAAAGTAGT